TATGGGCCCCTAGAGTGAACAAAGCAGAAGCATCCACCAAGTTGGTCATCAGGTATCATGCCACCTCCTTTGCTCGTGTCAATAGCCTCAAGAAGCCTCACAACTTCATCCATGTCAGGCCTCTTGTTAGGGTTTGCATCCCAACACTTGCGCATGATATTTGCCAGTGCGCTTGGGCAACATCGAGGGATCTCTGGCCTTAAGTTCTGCCACAGAAAAATTAAAGGGTAAATTTCACAGAACTACCTCAATTAGCTATTTTTCACAAAACTGCCATAAGCATATGGCAGTTGCGTAAGTGGTCATGTATTTCGCACATGACATGTTTTGAACAATTTTTTCACTTTACTTACATAGCTTCTATATTACCCTTGAAGTTTGTGGCTGTCAGATACAAATAGGGTAGTTTTGAACCTCAAGAAGTTAACGCCATTGGCTACAACTTCCAATAGTTTATGATATTTTATTGCAGTTTTGATAAACCAAGACTCACTTGACTTCATTGACCTGATAGATAATGTCATAATGCAATTATGATATATTTTTGCAGTTTTGATAAACCAAAACTCACTTGACTTCATTTACCTGATAGATAATGTCATAATGCGACAAAATTCAAATTGAAGTTGCAACGGGCATATCAAAGCACAACATATGAGTAAAACAAACTTCCTTTTCATCATAATGGTCAGTTTAGAAGCCATTTTTCTTCATTGACATCGTATGTTCATATCACCTCAACAAGTTATTCTTTGCTGAAGGCTCGTCCAAACTTTGATCTCAAACATTTTCATTACAACCATGATTGACATGCTAAAAGTTTAACATCAGAACAAATGTCCACCAACAAATTCTGATGTTAAGTTATAAAGTACTTCAAGCAAAATCTGATAGAATAAGAAGACTTGAAATTTCCATGATAAAAACCTGATTACTGTCATTCATGAATTGGTGACAAATGCAAAAAAGAGCAGGTAGAGATATAAGACTATGCCTATCAACATCAACTACATCAACAGTTTGTCCTCTAAGTTCTGGTTATGAATAACAACTCTTCTAAGTCAAAATCCCTGCTAAAAGTTTTGAGAAAGTCACCACCTATTGGTTTTTGAAAAATCCTTGCAGTTGAGAAATTCTAATCGACAAAAGGTGTGAATCTGGATCTATAACCAATAATTCATAATTCATTAATCATCAAAGAAATTATCACGAAGACATGCCATACACTATTTGTCTCTAGTCAGAATTATAAACAGATACAACAGGGTAGCAGCCTTGAAATGTCCATTATGCTAGAAAAGATCATAGAATTAAAATAATAATAATATCTCACTAGTATCCTAGTCAAACTCTATACCTCTATCTGACACACAAACACGTGAGTATGCATATTTATTTTACACTTGTGTATGCATATAATTATGCAGGTGTATTCTCAATGCATGTTAATATAACAATTATTTTCTCTAAAACTTCTACATGCCATATCAATACCAATAAGCTAGAAAAGATCATAGAATTAAAATAATAATAATATCTCACTAGTATCCTAGTCAAACTCTATACCTCTATCTGACACACAAACACGTGAGTATGCATATTTATTTTACACTTGCGTATGCATATAATTATGCAGGTGTATTCTCAATGAATGTTAATATAACAATTATTTTCTCTAAAACTTCTACATGCCATATCAATACCAATAACCTGTACTCTATAACTTTTTTTATATTGTTTCTAAGTGTTTCTTCTATTAGTGGTAAATAATTTTCTAAGTGCCATTTTCAGTTCTGACAGAACAAATTAGTGTTAAAGCAGTTTACTTGCAAGTGGAGCAAATATGAAATAACTCAAATTCTTTTTGCAACTTAACAAAGAAAATGAAGTCCAAAGAAGGCACATACATGTCGAACAACAGCAGATGAAACCTCAGCAAAGCTGAGATTAGAGTATGGCATGTCACAGCAGTAGATCTCCCACAAGCATATGCCAAAGCTGTAAACGTCACATTTTCGGTTGTACGGCTTCCCATCAAGGACCTGCATAAAGTCTTGCTTTAGAAAGAATCCTTCAAATCTTAATCTAACAAGAAACTCTTCGTGCAAAATGTTTGTAGATAAACAATCACCACATTTCTAGAAATATTACCAGCTTTCTCGAATTCTCACAGTAAAAAATCTGAGTTTGATCGTTCATGAATTTGGCAACTTACACTGAACATTGATGGAAACTGATAAGTGATGTTATTGATAGTCTGTACTGATAGTCTATTACCGCATCTGTCTAATGCTTGTAAGCAACATCTAGAAGGTACATATGAATGCACTTTTTAAATATTATTAATTTCTTTTATTCTAAATCTCCTTTATTTCTTATTATACCAAAACATTCAATCTTTCCAAAAAAAAAATGAACTCACCTCAGGAGCCATATATCCAAGTGTTCCAGTTGCACCAGTCATATCCCTGGGATTCTGCGCTTCAACACGAGCTACCCCAAAGTCAGCAATTTTAACGACTCTATGGCCATTCAACAACATATTTTCTGATTTGACATCTCGGTGAACAATTTTCTTGGAGTGTAGGTAGCTTAATCTGCAGGATATCAAATGCATGATCATAAACTTTATTTTCCAATATTCTACCAAAAATTTTAAATAAAGATCTCACCCTCTTGCAAGATCCAATGCAAGCTGAATTACAATCTTATAAGCAAGCTTCTTTCGCCGATTCTTTATCAGATATTGCTTCAATGTCCCTGCAGCAAGAAACTCTACAACAACACAACATGCTCGAGCCGGAATACTGTCCCCACTGCTTGATGAATTAGTTTGAGGAATCTTAAGATCAGAAGTCCCCATAGATGCACCAACAAACTGCGTTTGAAAATTAGTTGTAAATTGAGTTTACAAGTTGAAAACTGGTGTCTACTTGGATACATACCCAGAGCGTTGCTGCTAAAAAAACCTGATATTTTCTTTTATGATAAGTTTAAAGAAAATTTGTTGTCAAATTTTTAGGAACTAGTTTAAGAATCCTTGGAATTATGACAAGTTATTAGTGTACAAAGAAATCCTTACCCTAGTAACATTTGGATGATCAAGTTTTTGCCAAACAGCAACTTCCTGGCGGAATGATGCTCGAAGAGCAGCAGTTTCCGCATCAGTAGCAAACCCATCTTCCCCCCAGTCCAACAACTTCACTATAACACCGAAAATTTTTATATTAACTCAAATATTAAATGATGATAAGGACACAATATTCCCAATACAACTAATGATGCTCTCAAGTTTATAATAAAAACAGAATATTATCTATTTTCATGTAATTTTTTTAATAGTTAGCTATTCTTGGTTAAGAAATATATCTATTCCAGGTTTACCTGAATAACTTCATGTCAACTAATCCCATGCATATAATCATCAAGATTATATATAAATATGATTAAATCAATATCCATAATTCCGAAAAGACAAGTAGTCTTCCAAATATAATTTCTAGGTGCAATCAACTAAAAATAGTCTGCTAATAAAATTATCAAAAGATAAGAGGTTCATAAAAGAATTTAATATATTCTTAGCTAAATTTTTAACAGTAGTTTCATTTAAAACTTAAAAGTTGATAAATTATGTTGATATAGGTAAAGTATAACTAGTTTAATTTACTAATGCAATCTTTCTATTCTACAATCTAAATGAAATATGCCTTATCTTTTTACCAATATTAAAAAATCATAATAATATCCCATATCGATCAAAGTCATGAATGCATCTAGACATCATTAGAAACAAACCAAAATAGTGACCACCATTTAGAAATATGAATCCTGTTGAAATTTAATAGCACTTAAAATATAAAATAATAAAATAATAAAATTTAACATCTACCTTGTGCTGAGGTTGAGTTCTCTTCTCTTCACATTAAGAAAGCAATAAATTATAAAGTGTATATGAAAAGATGAGGACCGCTAAAATTTAAAATCAAAATTTGAAGTTAACTTCTTTCACATTTCTATTAGAAAGTCAAATTCTTCCAAAATTATAAAAACATATGAACTAGTTGATATATTTGAAATAAGCTAATGGCTCAATATCCCTCTTGGGAAAACATATTGTTACCTTACTGATGCTCTTACAATAGTGTGCCTGTATATGCTATATTAAGAGCGAGACATAGTTTTTGGTTATGCACATTTTTTCATAAGTTAGCTACTGCAAGAAAACTAACTTAAAGTTACTAACTCGACTCATTTTGTTATTTTAATTCCGACTGTCTCTTTCATGCTACATGTGAATTTCCTGATCCCTTTGTTTTCATTAATCCTCTCATTCCCCTTACTACTCTGAGAAATGTCCTTTGTTTTACTTCTATCTTTTGACATAATCTTACCCCATTCTTCATCATTCCATTTTTATTACCATCGCCCATTATAAAGCCTAGTTAACTATTATGAACACCTTTATTTCTGTAAGTTTGGCCATTCATCGGCCTAGCGCTTTTCAATTGTCCATGAACTGCTACAAAGGAAAGACAGTGAATAATTAGGAAAAATCATCTGCTAATTTCTGATGAAGCTTGTGTTGTGATAATGGGAATTTAATAGTTTACTCTTCATGGCACTATTAATGCTCGTCTAGCATCGAAGAATCACTCATCTGTATGAGTGCCATAGCATAACTAAAACCATTTACGCTTATATCAAATTTGCAGTTTTAAGTCATGTATAAGTTAACATGTGTAACAATTACAAGAACAAAGCCTCTAACTTTAAGGTACCTTCTATTTAAAGTTTTCAAATTTTCTTTTACCACAATCTGCTAAGGGTTGTCTCCTTGATTACTTATTTATTACTATATCCTTTTTAACTCTACTACTATGTCTAAATATAGAACAAATCCTAGCCCCCAGATGTTCCATTTACATGTTCCTATCACTTCTCCTAACATACATGTGCTCTAATTATCATGCCAAACCAATTAAGTTACTTCTATTATATCTTTTTATCCCAATGGCACCGATTAAGTTACTTCTGTTATATCTTTGGGAAATTTACGTCCAGCCCCCTCTGACAAACTTTTTTGTTCTTCCAGCCCTCATGACAAATCTCATGCTTGGAAAAACCCTTTGATCATAATTTTCTTTCTCTAAACCCCTCCCCTTGTAAGGTAACTTATATCCCCACATAGCAATGGAGAGGAAGTGAATCAAGTGATGCCCTTGTTAAGAGATTGGTAAAGGTGTTAACACAGGACAGAACTGAGGTGTGCAAGCAACACGGTAATGAAGAATCTTCCTCCCTAGTTAAGGAAAATAATAGGAGTTGCCATTCTTTTCCTTAAAACAATGATAAACAAACCATGCATAAAATCAATCTGACTGTTACAAAATATATTATGGCACCCCCAATAAACAACCAAAAGTCATTTAACAGTCAACACAGAAAAAAAAAAAAGATAATCAACCCACACATTCAGATCTAAAAGATTATATGAAATAAAGAAATATAGAGGTTTAAGTAAATTAATAAACTAATGAATTCAGATCAATATTAGAGTCATAAATGATTTGAAGTAGGCAATTAGATACCTGCGACATCTTGTCCATCATATGTGCCTCGATATACTGTGCCATAAGTCCCCTTCGCTACCACATACCTTATACTGAGCTTAGATGGATCTATCTCCCACTCCTCCTTTGGCAATTTCTGAGACAAAGAACCACTCTTGAGCCACACTTTGGACAGCTTCTTCTCGAGTGCGATATCTAAACTCTTCAAATCAATCTTATCAGCTCTAACGAACATGTCCTCCCCATTGAAGCTCCCCAACGTCTTTAATTTACGACCTGATTGTCCTAACTTAACATCTGAAGAAATTTTATTGCTTGTGTCGTCCTCTCCCTTTTTCGAATCCATGTTTCTTATTTAACTATGCAAACAGGGAAAAAATTAAGTCCTAAATAGAAATATTTCCTTGGGACTAATGGATAATAATCATTCAATGAATTTGATAAGTTGTGTGATTGAAGGAGGAAACTCTAAAAGTTTCCTCCTTTACCCCCTTATTCCAACCTGAAGATCGCCAACTTCCTGAAAAATAAGCGTAACTACTGTAATTAGAAGGATATTCCAACTGATGAAATGTATTAGAGAGAAAGGAAAAAAATTCGATAAAGAAAAATCTTGTCTACAGGCTTCAAAAAAAAAAAGCAAAGTTATCAACTTTAACAAATGACCAAAACCAAGATTTTGCAATAAAAATAATGGATATAAAATAAACAGTTCAAATTGATTTCAAGTTTTATCAACAAAGATTTAAAATCAGTTAGGAAAAAGTAATAAACTCTGGTCACCAAGACACTAAGTGATCAAAATCTTTGCTTTTTTAATAAAGACCAAACATTTTTTAGTAGCATATTCCAAAATTGAAGGGAAAAACATTTTTCTTTTAAACCAAACTTTTTTATATGAAAACTATCCAAGTCAATCAGATTCTCAAATTTTGTACAAAAAAAACCAAAAGAAGAATACATCGAGAAATTACCAGCAATGTGAAAAGTATCATGAAATTTTAATTTATGCATAAATCAGCTACATGCATTAAATTAAAATGTTCAAATAGTCAAAACTTATAATCGCAGTAACAAAATTTCTCAGTGCAATGACATGCAAAGCCTACAATGAAACTTTACATAAATTTTAATGTTAAAAATAAAGAACACAAAAAGGGCTAGAATCCAGTGAAAATTTAAACAATTTATCGAGGCAATTGATAATAAATGAAGTAATGATGTTATTAAGAAAAAAAACAAATATATGTCAAAAATTATTTAGACACTACCAAAGAAGGAAAAAAAACAATTATCTTTGAGATCCTAAATGCATGCGGTATTAGAAGGAACTTACCCCAACAAAGAGAAACTTGAGGAAAGTTGGTGTAGCACATGGCCACAGAGAGGACATTTCATGGGAAAATGGCCCCACTTTTAATTTCAAAATCAATTTGAACTAATTTTAATATTTAGACAAGCTCAATCCCCAACTTTCCAGAAAATATCTATTCAAAACACAAAAAAATGCCTAAAAAATCCAAATAATCAAGCAGTTGCTAGAACGTCAGCAATCAGAAGCATCAAAATTCAACCTTTACCCAAAGAGTTACCTCATGTTAATTAGAAAACCCTAATCCTAAAACATACTGCAGATTATATCAAGAAATATTCTAGTACCCATCAACTCACAAAAGTACAAAGTTATGCAGAATATAATATTTTGTGAGATGAAAAGGATTAAAAACTATAATTTACCCATTGAGTTACCTCCGTTAAATTAGAAGACCCTAACCCCAAAACATACTGCAGACAGTATCGAGAAATGTTCTACTATCCATCATCTCATAAAAAGTTCAAAATTCTACCAAAAATCCAAAAAATTAACTTAAAATTTGCTAAAATATAAGGTGTGAAAAGGATCAAAATACAAACTTTACGCAAAGAATTACCTCATGTTTATTTAGAAAGCCCTAATCCTAAAATAATCAAATACCCATGAACCGGAATCTTAAATTTGAGATGGAGAAAAATAATACCTGAAGAGAAAGTTCCTGCAGAATCCCAGATTTCTTTCTATTGGGAACTGGGGGAAAAAAACCCTAACTTTGATTTAAAAAAATTCCAAAATTAGAAATAACCCAGAATTGTAGAGCGAGAAATTCGATGATTCAATGATAGAGGGAGAGGAAGTGGAGGAGAGGAAGAATCGGACTTTTATTTTTTTTCCTTTTTCTGTTTTTCTTTATTTTCTTGTTTGGAAAGAGATATTTGAGAAATGAATGGTTTTTGAATTTCCATTCCTTTCAATATTATTTTCCCTGTTTTAAATATATATAAATTGTTTTTTTTTTCTTGGCTTTGGTAAATAATTATTAAGAACTTTTAGTATAGTTTCGATAAACTTAGATTAGACTGGCTACTCTTGAAACTAAATAGGATTTGTCCATAATATTTTTTTACCTATTAATACTTTATTACGTATATGAAAGTGAGTGAAAACATTATAGATGATTTCAAAATCAATTTTTCCTAAAATTACAGTGAGTTTGCAGTTCTATTTCTCTTTTTTAGTGAGATATCTTTATTACAATTTTGCCACATCATCACTTAAAATTATCTAATATTATATCACATACATATAAGTACACGTATATATGTATGTACTCAAAAAGAAGTATGGTGTCAAAATGAGTAATAAAACTTATGATCTGGGGAGCTCAAATCCTATATAGCCTGCTAATCTAGTGAGGTATTAATTCATAACCTGCAACGTTCATCTATATCTATATCTATATCTATACTATTTCTAAAAGAGAAAAAAAGTGTCAAAACTTTTGCATGCTCATTTTACCCATTTCAACTTGCTTAATTATAATTTTATCTCATCATTTTATTCAGCCCTTATCTATAAAAAAATTCCTCTA